AGGAGGGACTCTGCAGTTTTTGCAGTCCCACACTGCCGCTCACCCCCAGGCATGCAGGGGGAGGCCAGGCAAGCCGCTTAAAAGCGGAGAAACTCCCACTCTCTGCCTTCTCGAAGCCTTGCATGAATCGTTCTGGAGGAATCGCTTTGTCTACTCACGCATACTCCTGCGGTCCCTGCTGTCCTCTGTCTTGCTGCGTGTGGTCTCCTCCTCCGCGTCGCTGCACCTGCTGCGGGTCTCGTGCTGTGGTCCGTGGGTCTTTGCCGCTCTCCTCCTTTGCGGGCTCTTTCTGCGGGTTCGCCGCTGCTCGTCTCGACGCGGCCTGCTGCTGCATACGGCCGGTCTGGCCCGGTGCGGTGGGAGCTGTGCGCATCCCTGCCCCTCGTGCCGGTACGGCGTGGTCACGTTGTGTTGTCCCCGTCTTCTGGCGTTGCGGGTAAGTATGAGATCCGCGGACGGTTTATTCCCCTCGCATTGTACTGCAGTTTAAAGCCCTCGCATTGTTCTGCAGGCTCTCTTAACCAAGCTCCGTTTAAATCTTCACTCTGACTGCAAGCTCCGTTATTCCTCACATTGGACTGCAAGACCTCAGTTTAATGTGCTCTCAGTTTTAATCCCTCACTTTGGCCTGCAGGCTCTCTTTAAATCCCTCTCTGGACTACGAGCCTGTTTAAATCCCTCTCTTCGGACTGCAAGCCCCGTTTAAATCCCTCTGGTCTGCGGCTCCCAAATTGAATCCCTCACATTGGACTGCGAGCTCCCAGGTTAATCCCGCACGGAACTGTTTATATCTGGAACTGCTTATATCTGGAGCTGTTATACCGTACCTGGAACTGCTTCATGCGGAACTGCTTATATATGGAACTGCTATGTATGGAACTGCTATATATGGAACTGCTTATGTATGGAACTGCTATACATGGGACTGCTATATATGGGACTGCTATATATGGGACTGCTATATATGGGACTGCTATATACGGAACTGCTTATTGTGGAACGGCTTGTATACGGAACTGCTTATATGGAACTGCTCATATTGGAACTGCATATATGGTACTGCTTATATCTGGAACGCTCATATATAAAAATAAATAAATATAAATAAATATAAATAAATATAAATAAATATAAATATGAATAAATATAAATATGAATAAATATAAATATGAATAAATATAAATATGAATAAATATAGATAAATATAAATAAATAAATAAAAAATAAAAAACTGCAGGCTCTGTTGGATCCCTCCCATCGTTTAACTCCCTCACACCGGACGGCAGGCTCTCCGTAAACGCCTCACTTGGACTGCGGGCTCAGTTTTAATACCTCACTTGGACTGCAAGCTCTATTTAATCCCTCACTTAGACTGCAGGCTCTGTTTAGGTCCCTCGGCGTCTCTTCCCGGCTCTCCGTGAGCCCCAAGTCGGCACGCGGCTCGGGCGCGGGAGGTGTCCGTGGGCTACGTCATTGGCCCCTTCTCTCCGTCTCGCTCTAACCCGATGGGCATCGCCACCCGCAAGCACTCCAGGAAGAAGCGTCTCATACTCGTCCTCTCCTGTCCCCGCTCCGGGCCCGCCCGAGCATCAACAGCCCCTTCCCTCCAGCGCCCTTCTCCCTGCAGTCCGCTACCGTGGACCACGCGATCAGGCTGATAAAGACTTTCGGCCCCGGCTCCTGGCTCTCCAAGGCCGTCATCCCGGTCGCGTTCAAGCTGCTGCCATCCCCCCCGACCACTGGCGCTGTTCAGGGGTCAAGTGGCGTCGGAGCTCTTCTTCGCAGTGCGCCTCACCTTGACTGCCGGAGTAGTCCCTCTCGTTCAACAATCTCTCGGAGGCGCCGTGTCGGATTCTGCTTAATTTCGCGCGGCTCCCCTCTGTCTGCATCTCCCCGATGATTCCCTCATAGTCGACCCACCCTCAGACTGCTCCGGGGGCTCTCTCCGCAAGCTCAGGCCCGCCTTCTCTGCCCTCGGATTCCTCCACTCCGGAAAGCCCACAGGCCCCGCCAACGCTCTGGAGTTTCTCGGCATCCGCCTCGACACACGCGCATGGAGGCCTCCCTCCCGCTGGACAAGCTCGAACGCGTCCGCGCTTTCTCCCGGTCTGCCTTGGCCTTCCCGTCACTTCGAGGCGTCCTTGCTCTCCCTCCTCGGGCATCTTCATTATGCCGTCTGTATCATTCCCCAAGGTCGTTCTTTTAATTCCAGACTCCTTCCCTCGCCGGCTCCGTCTCCTCCCTCGATGACGGGGCGCTGCTCCGACCTGGCGTTCCGGTCCAGTTCGCAGAGCCGCTGGGATGGTGTATCTCTTTTTTTTACAGTGACATCATCCTGTCTCAGATGCCCCGCGGTTCTTCACGGACGCAGCCCCGTCCGTGGGTTTTGGGGGTTTTCCAGGACCAGTGGCTCGCCGGGCCCCGGCCCGACGCTTTCCCTCGAAGCATCTCCTCCGCGCTCCACGAGATATATCCCGTGACCGGAGCCTGCGTATTGCGGGACCATACGTGGCATAGGAAAAGGATTTCCGTGACGTGCGACAACCTCGACGTCATTGAAATAATTAACAGAAGTCGTTCATCCTCTCCCCAAACCACACCCTCCTTAGACGCATCACATGGCTCTCAGTCTTGAACAATTTATCATCACTGTTCGTCACGTCCCTTGTCACCTAACTGTATTGCTGACTCTCTCTCTCGCTTTAAATTCCAGGAGTTCTGACGCCTCTGCCCTTCCGCCAATCCATCGCCATGCCAGATCCCCTGCACGGAATCCCTCGCCCCGACCTAGTCCCTCCGTCTCTTCACCTTCTCTCCTCCGCTGCATCCTACATGAAAATGGGCTTCTTACGCATAAGCAAATTCACAAACTCTCACGCCACCTTTAATGCATCCCGAGACATTGCCTTCTCTGACCCGTCATATTATCCCGACTACTTCAACCTCCACTCAAGCATTCCAAACGCAAAGGCGCTTGCAATATAGTCATAGCTCGGTCTGACACTTCTCCCTGTCCCTACAGATCCATGATGCATTACACTCGCCTCCGCTCTCGGAAAGGAGATCTCAACGGACCGTTATTTCTTACCCCCGAAAACCTCCCTATGTCCCCCAACCGGTTCAGAGCCCAACTCAAGTCCGTACTGCTGCTTTGTAAACTGTCTCCCCATCTCTACACAGCCCACTCCTTCCGGATAGGCGCCGCCACGCGCGCCGCGTCACTGGGGCTCCCCCATTCCGCCCTCCAGCAGCTGGGCCGCTGGTCATCATCGGCCCTCTCCTCATACATCAGGCCTGACACCTCGACCATCCTGGCAGCCCAGCGGCTTTTGGCATCTCCATAAAACACTCGCTAAACTCCTGGTGGCGGCTGCAGCTGAGTATCCGCAAGTTTGGTCACAGCAAATAGCGGTCACAGTATATAGTGATAGCGGTCACAGTATATAGCGATAGCGGTCACAGTATATAGCGATAGCGGTCACAGTATATAGCGATAGCGGTCACAGTATATAGCGATAGCGGTCACAGTATATAGCGATAGCGGTCACAGTATATAGCAAAAAATGGTTAGCATCATATTGCATGATGGTCGTCAGCATATAGCGATAGCGGTCACAGTATATAGCAATAGCGGTCACAGTATATAGCGATAGCGGTCACAGTATATAGCGATAGCGGTCACAGTATATAGCGATAGCGGTCACAGCATAGAGTAGTCTCGTCGTTCTGTCCCCTCCAAACCAGGCTGCAAAAACTCCATCAACACAGCCTTTTGGGGATTGGCACGCTCCTTCGCATGGAGGCCCTCCGCTCTGAAGGCCGCACCGGGGCCTAGGGCGCCAAACCTCCTCCCAATAAAATACTCAAAAGCTTCTTGTTTCACGTCTCTCCAAATTGAAATGCAGCCAGCGAAAGTTCAATTTGGTAGACGTCAGCCAAAGGTAACCCCTCTCATCCCCAGCCTATCGCGCTGCAAACGCCCCTTCCAATCACCGCACCGGCCAGGCAAGCCGCTTAAAAGCGGAGAAACTCCCACTCTCTGCCTTCTCGAAGCCTGCAACCACCGCCTCCCCTCCTCCTCCTCTTCACCCTGCCTTCAATCCGCCTTCAATCTGCTTCCCGCTGCCAAATGCCGCCACCAGTGCCTAGGTCCCGGGGGATTGGCACGCTCCTTCGCATGGAGGCCCTCCGCTCTGAAGGCCGCACCGGGGCCTAGGGCGCCAAACCTCCTCCCAATAAAATACTCAAAAGCTTCTTGTTTCACGTCTCTCCAAATTGAACTGCTGTCACCTTACATTTTGTGCACCATGTGCACTTGTATATTGTAAGTAGTAACTGTAACTCTATTTTAAATTTAAATTTATTCTTTAGAAGTGTTTTTTATTCTTATTTTTATTATCTCTTTCTGACTGTTGCACTGAGCCAAAGCAATTTCCAAGTCTGTGAACTCCTGTTACTTACGTGGCAATAAAAATGATTCTGATTCTGATTCTGATTAAATCATCACAGACTGGTTTCTTGAACATGTCAATAAGTTCACTGTACTGTAATGGCCTCCACAGTCACCAGATCTCAATCCAATAGATCAACTTTGGGATGTGGTGGAACAGGAGATTCGCATCATGGATGTGCAGCCGACAAATCTGCAGAAACTGCATGTTGCTATCAAATATATGTCCAGTACCTTTTTGAATCAATGCCACGAAGGATTAAGACAGTTTTGAAGGCAAAAGGGGGTCCAACCCGGTACTAGCAAGGTGTACCTAATAAAGTGGCCGGTGAGTGTATATAGACTTACTTATCTACTACTTTTCTGTTTCTAGACAATCTGCATCTGCTTGTTTGATACTAACTGTAATCTAACTAAACAAGTCTAATTATTTAATCGAAGTATTTTGTAAATAAGAAATTACGCTACTTATTTACCCAAAAAGTAATCCATTTACTACAGTAACTAATTGCTTGTATCTGAGTTACATACAAAGTTAAGTTTTTCTCACCTCGTACTGGTCTCCGGGGCAGAGGCGAGCGAAACCGATCAGTCCTGAGAACAAACACATGTTCTGTCTGATTTACATTATAAACATAGCGATAACGTGCAAAGCACAGTGAGATGAGACACACCTTTCATTTTTATCTGCAGCTCTCCCAGAAGGATTTCCAGCTCGGCTTCCATTGACAACATGTCCTGCAGAAGAGAAAATGTGGGTCAGGGACAAGGAATGATGAAATAAAGTAGTATTGTTCGGCTGTACAATATGGACTTGTGAGTTATGTATAATTGTAACTTCAATAGCTTCGAAGCAGAATCAAGTATGATTCTTTTGGTTCAGGTAATCAGTATGAGTCTTTTAAAACAGATAGGACCAAAGGTGTGAGCCCAGGTGGGAAGGTGTTTGTTATGGCTGTTCATTTAAGGGGGAACAACTAGTGTTGTAGATTATTGGAGTCTACAATACGTCATCAAAAGACATGGATGCCAAGGTGTTCCTGAGAATGAGATGCGCCAGGCTTTTGTGAAAACAGATTGGACAACTTTTTCAAATGTAGCTGAATCAGTTTTCATAATTATATTCTGGGATAGTCAGTCAATCCTCCTCCAATCCAGGTAAGGAGTCAATTGATAATCGTCTGGATCAATTATCGCAATTTTTTTCTCCCTTAATTATTAGCCTAGTCCAGCCTACTAGTCAAAACAACAATGAACTAAACACATAACCGTTTTGATGCACAGGGTACCTCACGATACGATACAATACGCGATACAAAGCTCACGATAACAATCACGGTAAGACGATTATCGATATATTGGTCAGAAATATACCATATGCCAAATTATGGCATAAATAAAAGAAAAATGTTAAGTGAAAAAATACACTTTATTTCATGATAAATGGAATGGAGATGCGTAATGTAGTCATATATTAAGTATTGATACTAATAAAAATATATATAAAAAAGTACAATAAAAGTACAATAAAATGTATTATATATATATATATATATATATAATGAGTGAGTGAATGGATGGTGTTGATTGGGGGCTTTGATGCAGCAGTGTGTTCGGCGTCTTGCTTCCGTCATCACCGTGTATGGAGTGATTGGAACAAACTCTGAACTCTAAACATTGTAAAGCGCTTTGGGTAACCTTGGTGTGTGAAAAAACACCGTATATATATATACTAGTCAGCTGCATTTATGGTTTGACCCCAAAAAAATTCTAACAAAAGGTTCTTCAGTGGTTTCTAATAGTATCAGATGTACTTAAAAACATACTCAAAGTTTACCAAAGTTTGAATCTAAGAAAGGCCTCATTTTCAAAATGGCGGCCATCAGGTCCTTAAAATGACCATTACTCCTATGTATTTTTCTTAGACCAGGAATACCGGTGTCTGATACCTGTTTTGGTCATAAAATATTCTAATTAGTATATTTGCATAGAAAATAAGTGATTACAAGTACAATTATATATTAAAACAATTGGTTATAAGCATATGTATGCAAAAAAGGAGTACAATTTCCCTTAAGTAATCCCATATTTCTCCTTTATCATATTGTTTTCTTAGTGTTGGTGGTTTCTGTGGATCATAATCATTATTTTGATTCCAATAAAGAATAAATTCATTAGAACTGTGTGGTACTGTAAAATTTGTCAAAACAGGGCTGCCGCGTGAAGGCTCAGTACCGCTAACCCCTTGTGTTTTTTTGTGTTTATTTTTTATATCAATTTTTTTGAATATATTTTATAATCTGTTTTGTTTTGTTTTTTGCCTTTTGTTTTTTATATTGATTTTTTGTATTATTTTCTCATGTATACATATTTTTTTTCTATTAATTTCAGTTGTTTCTTCTTATTCTGGTTTATTTGTTATACTTTTTTACACTGTGACCATCATTAGAGACACCATTAGTCGTCGAACTCTTCCTCCCATTGAGGATGATTATAGTGATTCTCACAATTCCCAACTTGACATGGTCCACAAGCAGGCATGCATGGTAGTCCATATGCCCTGCAACTGCACCGTTGTGTTCGGCATGTAGTTGTGCAATTACAGTGGATAATCTGCAGGAGGCTTTCTGGGGCAGCAGTCTTACTGGTCATAACTGGCAGGAACCGGTTTTCCACCAGTTTCCATCCCCAATCCACTGGGTTCATCTCATCTTCCTTTCCAATCCACACCATGATCTGGAGGTAAACTCTTTGGGAGTGGTATTTGGATGAGGACTCAGTTGGAGGCAGACGTTCTGCGGTAACAAATGATCTGGCGGTAACAATTTTCTTGCTAAAAAGGTTGTAGCGCAAAGAGGCAAGTGAGTCGGTACTCTTCCGCCAAAGAACACTGCCATTGCCTTAGTCCCATGGTCCTCTATGACATTCCTTGCTTGTTGTGAGGACAGAAACACATTTGCACAGGACTGGATGGTTGAGTCACCTTTCACAAGTTTCTGGAATGCTGTCTGTTTGCCAACACTAAAAATACGTGAAGTTGTATCACATCCTGTGAAGGCATGGATGAACAGCAACTGGGAGCACAAGTAACATACCCAGGACTTGTTTCATCTCACTGATGTTGTACACTTTAGTAGCTTTGGACTTGTCTGACCGAAAATAGAGGCCTCTATTGTTCGTCCCAGCATAGTAGAGGAGAAGAATGAGTAAGTCTGTATCCTCCCCTATCAAGGTTGTCGGCTGATGTTCTGAGGCATTGATTGCAGCTTTGACAATGTCCACGTCTGCATCACCTGATGCATTGATAACAGTGCAGCCCTTCTTCTCCAGCTCTTCAGTCATAAGATTGATAAGTCCTTGTTTGTTGCAAGATCTGGAAAGGAAATCATCCTTTCTTCCAACAAACTCTGTCTCTGCATTGAAGTTAACGATAGGGTGAGTGTTTTCACCACGTCTCTATGTGTATTGTCTTTGATGGAAGGACCTTCCCTTGGTGGGATGGAATCCAGGACAGTTTCTCTAAATTTCTTGATTGAGAACTCAGAGACTGCCTGCGCTAGTTGGGGCTTGTTGGCTTTATGGAAAATGTCTTTGCATTCAAACAGGGCTGCTGGAAATGAGCAGAGCTCATAGCTCCCTGGAAGATTACATCTTCCAGGGAAAACTGTCCAGTTTTCGACATAATCAAGAACCGTTGGAACAGGAAAGCAGGATCAATGGATCGGTCTTGGGCAACTTTGATGGTGGAGTCATCTGCAAGGGTTTTTACCCGGTCTTTCCGTTTGAAAGATATTCTAAAAACGGGTTTTCCAATCATCTTTTCAATGATCTCATTGCCAACTGTCTCAAACTCATGGACATTTACCTCTTTTTTGGCGACAACACCAGTTACAATGTTTCTCAGAGATGGGTCTGGAGAGAATGGTGTGCAAATGCTAAGCTTTTCCTTCATATTTTTTAAATCTGAATGATCTATTTTCATCCTTGCTTCTGACGATTCTCGGTGCTGCTCGCTGGTCGTGTAGGTGAGCTCATTGAATTCCTGCATGGTCCTGTTGTATTCAGATGTGATGGGTGTAGACATGGTCCACAATGCTCTCATTTCTTCAGTCATTCCACTTCCATCGGTCAAGCCTCCACTGCCTTTCAAGGATTGCATCAATGTCTGCTCGATGATAAGGTCAGAGCTAAGACCTGCCCAGTACTGGTTGCTGCGTTGGATCACATGAAAACCCCTGGAAAACTTGTCATGTACATCAGGGTGTCTGGTCTCGAGTTAGCACATTTCTTGGAGGTAGAAATATGCCGATTTCAGGTAGTTGTAGTGCCCAGCGGCAGCAAATATTGGCAGACAGTCCAACATTGCTCGCAAGTGCATCTTCCAAGATCCTGTACGATCTTCTTTGATCAGAGCTCGGGCTGTCTGCAGCATCATCTGATAGTTTACCCACAGCCGGCTGGTTTTTGACCTTGTGCTAAGGTTTGTCCTCTTTGTGTCCATCTGTTCCATGATTTGGTTCAGCAAATCTGATGCTGCAGCACTCTCCAAAGTTGTTACTTTTGTTACCAGGGATGAGTACATATCTCCTGCTTGGTTCAACAAGGACTCAAACTGTGGGTCATCCTTCTGCAGCTCTGACACAACCAGGTGATTGAGACATCTGTCCACCAGCAAATGTCCACGAAAAGCTCTTTGCACTGACTTTCCAGTCATCCTGTGCTGGATGGCATTTGATCCATAGACAACTTCCAGAATTTTCCTGAGTCCTGTGCCTTCCATCAGAGTGCCTATTGCACCAAGTAGGTTCATAAAAGTATGAAAACCTCCAAGCATTAAGATAAGATAAGATAAGAATTCCTTTATTCGTCCCACGGTGGGGAAATTTTGATGTTGCATCGCACATATAGGACAGTAGTAAGAGCACACAGGGAGCACACACAATATATACACTATATACAAATAAGTAGTAGCTATGTTTCTTAGCTAACATAACTAGCTGTAGATGCTGAAAATGCTTCAATACCAGTCAAAAAATATATATGTAGTAGTGCAGTTATATACTGTACAGTTAAATAGTGCAGGATAAAAAGTATATAAGTAAAGTGACATGAGGTAAAGTGACATTGTTCTGTGACATCCTGAAGTTGCAGTATTGCACATTGCACATGATTTAATAATTTACTTAATTACAGATGAATGAAATTTACAGGCTCAGCAGTTCTTATTGTACAGTCTGACAGCAGCAGGAAGGAAAGACCTACGGAACCTCTCCTTCACACAGCGAGGGTGAATTAGTCTGTCACTGAAACTGCTCTCCAGAGCAGAGAGAGTGTCCTGCAGGGGGTGACAGTCATGGTCCAGCATATGTTAGTTTGCTTAGGACCCTCCTGTCCCCCACCTGCTGCACTGTGTCCAGGGAACAGCCCAGGACTGAGCTGGACTTCCTGATGACCTTGTCCAGCTTCTTCCTCTCCCTCTCTGTGATGCTGCAGTTCCAGCAGACCACACTGTACAAGATGGCTGATGCCACCACAGAGTCATAGAAGGTCTTCAGGAGTGGCCCCTGCACTCCAAAAGACCTAAGCCTCCTCAGTAGGTAGAGGCGACTCTGGCCCTTCTTGAACATCCCTCGTTATTCGTTTTTTCAATGTTGGTTTCATTTAGAAAATCAAAAGAACGGATGATACACGGATTATACACAGACCTTACCATTTAAAAGATGTTTATTTTTACTCTTTTGAAATTCACTAAAGACACAGCCCTGAATTTTCATTATCCAGACTAAATTAAATTTCCATTGATTAAATTTCAGGTATTGAAGAATACTTTAAATAAATAATAAAGAATTTTTTAAATTAGTTTTATTTTTGTCTTTTAATGTTGTTTTATGTCTGTACTTGTCCTGTGCACACTGGGAACTTTTACAAATGTATTCCAATGTAGTGTTACTGCAAATGGCGAAATAAAATGAATCGGATGAATCTGAATCTTATCATTGAAATAAAAATATCCAAAACAACAATACAATTATGTATGATCTTTTTTTTTTTAAACAATCAAACAATATTGTATCTATATATTTTGGCACACCCCTAATTCAAATACCATGAATATAAACAGGAATTAGAAAGTGAAAATATTTGTGGTGCATTTAAGAAAACACAATAACAACTCATCCTGACATACCGCTCGCTAGAGGGCGATGCCGCGCCGAAAATGCCACGCGACAGTTTCCTTATATGCAGCGCAACGATTTTGTTGCGAGTAATTCTATTGGTTCAGAATCCAAACCAATCAAATCATGTGAGTTTTATTGATATTTTTTATATTATTATTGAGCTCAATTCAAATAAATAAAACGCACACTACTCTTGTTCAGTTGAATCGCTCAACTTGTACTCAAAAAGTGCACTGTTACTTCAGATTATTAATACTCTGTCACTCAATATTTAGGGGCAGAACACTGCCGCTTGTCAGGAAAGGCCGATTGAAACATACGCATTCTAATAAATTTGTATTGCTCGCTCGTATCACTGTTTGTCACGATGAGGTGTAAGGCGTATGCGTTTGTTACCTGTAAACTGTGTCTGTGGTTGCGGTTCAGCTCCAGCAGGCTTTCTCGGGTTGCCCGGCTGGAGGGGGAGAAAGTGAAGGCCCTGCGCATGTTCACTGCCCCCTGACACAACCTCCACTGGATACAATACGTCTCATACAGCTCCTCCACCTGCTCCACAGTAGACTGCTGTTACTGTTTTATCGAAAGCTTTTCTATTGAATCAAAGTATTTAAAAAATACATAAATACTTTACTGTACTTTTCTATTGAATCAAAGTATTTAAAAAATAAATAAATACTTTACTGTACTTTACTATCTCAGCCAGTAAAAAACTCAGTCTACCAAATCAACATATAGATACAATGCAATACTTTTCAACGTTTCTCAATGAAGCAACATAACTGACTAAATGAATATACATGCATCAAGAGTTTCGTGCGTTCAAACGCACAGCATTGTGGGTAGTTGGATTGAAAGGTGGGCATCAAACCACGACCGCCGGATGGGATTACTTGTCGCGAACAATTTACCTCTCTCTTGTTTCCAGCCCATAGATTATTTTAATAGCTAAAAGATTCACCAATTTTGAGGTAAAGATTTTTTCATTTAACGTAAAAGCAATACATTTTTTTCTTGTGGTTTCAGATGGAATCACAACCGACTGAATATACAGCTACATGTATGAGACTTAATGAGCTTACACACAAGCTTTATAAACTTGCCCAAAGTTGTACAATTTCAGTTGTAATGCCCCATTTCTTTTCTCACAGTGCAATCTTTACTTTACCTTCAAAATTCATGAAATTGGTGAAAGTTTTAGCTATTAAAATAATCGATGGGCTGGAAACAAGAGAGAGGTCAATCGTTCGCAACATTTAATCCAATACGGCGGTCGTGATTTGATGACCACCTTTTCGACCCAACTACCCACAATGCCGTGCGTTCGAACCGGAAGCTCGGAACTCTTGATGCATGCATAAATCAGGGCTCTCCAACCTATAGATTGAGAGCTACCATTAGCTCACCACCCCCTTCCAGGAAGCTCCCCAAAGGGTTTAGAAATTATCATATAAAACAAAAAAAATAAATGTACTGAATATTTCAAATATATTATTAACATGCTCACACCTATTATTAATACAAACTGAATTCATGCACTAGTAACAATGTAACGTTAGTGACCCGATCTCAGGCTCTCACCAATATAACCAGCGCTTAAAGGAGTGGCTTCAAGCCAAATGGCTCTCTTGCCATTTTCGACTCGAGAAAGTAGCTCTCCAGGTGAAAAAGGTTGGAGAGAGAAAGAGAGATTTATTCCTATTGGTTTAACTATTCTCGGTGGTTATGCCAACTATTTCAAGTTTTATATTAGTAAATTTTTTATGAATATGTATTTACATTATAGTAAAGAATTAGATATGTTCCACGTGTTAGATATTAAGAAGGACATTGCATATTGATTAACTTTAAAGCTGGGGTGCCTGACTTCTAAACCACACAAAAAATGTAGTCATTCGCTTTCAAAACAGTTTATCTCTATCACTAGTTTTCACATCATGTATTATTGGCCTCTGTCACATCATTATCTGCCTTTTTCAGAGAGAAACATGAAAAAGAGCACAACCATCTCTGAGCCAATTAGCTCTCCACTCAAAGTGTCATATTGTGACTCACAGGGCTCTTTGTATACAAAAGATAACATGTTGTGGTCTGATTTTTTTCACATTTAAAAAGACTCTTTCTTGTTGGGACAAACAACATGTACACATAAAACATTCTTTTTACCTCAGCTTTAATATTTCAAATACAATGGAACAAATTTACCTTGCTGATTTGAAACTCTAATCTTCGGATGTATCTTTCCAACACTCTGATCTCCTGTGCACGAATTAATCAGAAAAATTGCACAAGTAGGGGACACTTATTTGAAAATAATATTTAAAAATGGTTTACCTTTTGTAGGTCGTACAGAAAGGCCTGTGAATAAACAAGATTTCATGAACAATATGCCTACTTTCAAAAGTGCACGTGCTAAATCCTCACCAGCCTGGAGTTTCTCTTGGTTTCTTGCTGTTGAGAAGACAGGAAGTCCATTTCAACTTGATGCCCTTCCAGATACTCCCTACACAAATTTTAACAGGATTTTAAAGGTCTAGACAAATATAACATTGTTGAATGTGTCTATTTTCTTTATTTTGCTCTCTGCTGAATGATAATTATGGGAAGTGAACAAGCCCTAGGTGTCCAAGATGACCACCTAGAAGTCAATGACCAAGAAGTCAATGATCTGTGCTCACTGACACATGCTAGAAGTTGGCCACTCCAAAAACTAGCAGAAGAATAGCATTCTGTCTATCACGTGAGCATATAATAAAGAGAAAAGTTCACAAAGACCGAAATCCTCACATAATCCAATGTTGGTGAAAGCTGTAGATTCCTGTCAGCTGAGCTTTGTTAAAGAGAGCATGAGTCAGTGGCTCTTTATTACTAGTTCAGTTAATATCTAATGTTTAGATTGTGATAAAAACCATGTTATATAAGAAACAAGTTGAGTACTTCGTCCTTCAGTCTCCTTCGCCCGGCACAAGGAAAACATGGTCATACCAATGAGCTCATCCACGGACAAAGTTGCAATACAATTTAGCATTTTTTCCTTTGAGCAAAAGTGAGGAAAAGAAATATTGGTGAAGAAAGTAAGGGAAACCCATAAAACTACAGTTTACAATAATAATAACAATAATGAAAATAATTCTAACAATAATAATTATTAAAAAACTACAGTTTATGGGAACATTACTTGTGTAGCCCATGATAATTTAGGCTGCAAAATTTGAGCACATACTGGAGGAGGGTATGGATCTAGAATCATAGAAGTGAAGCAGAAGTGAAGAGAACCCCCTTTGGCTTCACTTTGGTGGTTGATACAAAAAACAACATTTAAACATTGAAAAATAGATAATTCTTTTTATGATAACATACTTGAGGCCTTTACGTAGTGCCAAGAAAACCCTGTCCACCTGCTCCGGCTGTGTGGACCACATGACTCTTCCCACTTTGCTTGGAGACAGGGGTATTCTGGGGGATGCCGTTTCGGATCCAGCTTTAGAGCGAAGGCAGTTTCTGACAGAAGCGCTCCTAGAGAAAGTAAAAAGTAGTGCTAGTGTCAGCCTGTCCGAGCATTCTCATTATTAATAATCACAGTACAAATGTTCGCGTAGATTTGACTCTCAGTTGCTTGACATAAGGTAAAAACTAAAATATAATGACTGGAGCTGAAAAGAGGGGTTTGAACCACAAAACTTCAATCCATCCATCCATTTTCTTCCCCTTAATCCATTTCTTTCAGAGATGAACAGAACACCAGCCCCTCACTGATCCTCCATCCGGCTGTTCTAGTCTGAGCTGCCTTGATCTTTCAGAATGAGCTTCAGGCAAAGTGGGGTTAAGTGTCTTGCCCAAGGACACAACAACAGCAGACATCAGAGGGAGACCACAAAAAATAAATCAAAATGAAATCCATATAACTAGTTATTGGCCATCAACAGTTTAAGTTCTATCACTAGTTTCCACATGCTTATATACAATATTTTCCTGTGTCAAATCTTTGCAACAATTTTATCAAACAGATCAGCCAATCAGCTCTTCTGCTCTCTTGAAGCTTCAAAAAGTGACTCACAGGGCTCTTTCTTATTCATATTCAAAAGATAAGAAGATGAAGACAACATGTTGTGATCTGATTTGTTAACAATATTATACTTGACATGACTCTGTATAAATAAAAAAAATAGAAACCCCAGCTTTAGGCATTGGAATCTGTCCATCTTATCAACTAATGCCAGGATTTTGTTTTCTTTGTAATTTGGTTTTATTTTGTGTTTCACCTGTGTCTGTGTCTATACTGTATGTACCCTGTGCTTCTCTCCTCTTGTTTCTGGTCCATTGTATTGTCAATGTCTGTTCCATCCTGTTCCTGGTTCCGTGTTCCTTGCCTGTGGATTTTGGTCTTCACCTGGACTTTTATTTTATTATCATTAAACCCTTATTTTTTGGCATTCCTGCTTTTTGGGTCCTCATTCAATTCACCACATGACAGAATGGACCAGCCACAAAGGAACTCTGCAAATTGCGTTTTTTATTTCACACCACACCGGCTCCCCGTTCTTCACCAGGTTTCTATTTATTTTTTGATCTCTGCCATCTTCTAGGCGAGGTTTATCTATCGTATAGCTCTCAGTAGCTCTTCTGGAGATCTGAATGGCTTATGATTTCCTCTATAGCCATTTGGCAAAGTCAGGTAGTGTGTATGTATTAGCTGAGTCAGTCTGTAAAATTCCCTGTGACAGACAATATTCTGCAAAACTGTCCTGATAGGAATGGGGGAGTTTACTCAGCAGCCTGTCTACATGAGATCCACACTCTAGCTCACTCTTAGCAGCTCCATCTAAGGAGGTCAATAGTCCCACTAGACTACTAACTGATAGAGCAAAGTCCTCAAAACCCTGTGCATCTCCTGCTCTCACTGTGGGGGCTCTCAAAATGCCATTTAACTCACTTTGGACTAACTGACGTGGCTGTCCATAGCGCTGCTGCAGGGCCTGCATTGCTTTGGTATATGGCATGGGGTCATGCACATATCTCTTTGCTATCTGAAATGCAGCTGGGAATTTGAGGTGATCCAGAAGTACCTGGAATTTATAATCCTCAGAAAGATGTAGATGTGGGCCCATTACACCATCTAATCCCTTCTTCAATAATAGAAAGTCGCTCTCTTTACCTGTGGTAAAACTTACTAATCTTGGCTTAGGGATGCCATAAGAGGAGGATATAGCCATCTCCATCAGGTTAGGCCTCTGGGCTGCCAACATAGGAGGAGTGTAATGTGACCTGTCCTGAGGAGCACTAGGCTGTAAACTGACAGGAGGCTGAGGGAGGAATGCTGAGTCCCTGTGCATATAGTGTGTGCTCAGAGGGGGAGGGAGCACCTGTGCATAAGGGGGATGACTCACAGTAGGGCCTTGAGCCCAGGGTAATGAGCCTAAAGAAACAGGCACAACATATGGAGCAAATGCTGAGGGCTGGGTCTGCATCGCTCCCAGGTAACTGTATGGTCCCTCGTTGGGCTGTGTAGACCAAGTGGGATAAGATGTCGTCCAATTCACTTCTCTTTGCTGCTGCAGCCAAGGCGGATGTGGATGGTCTGATGCTGCAGGCCTGGATACCACTGGTGCTGGTCGAGCTGCGCTTTTCGAGCTGAAGAGAGGACATAAACAGGCTGTGTAGAGTCCCCCACATCACGAACAGCAGGTTCTGTGGAAAGAGGAGTGGGGAGCGTAGGAACCGGCAGGACTGCGGGAGATGTGGCTCTCTGCACAGTGGGCTGATCGGGATTGGACAGTACTTGGATGAGAGGGAGGATGGTCTCCAGGCTGCCCATTTGCTGGTCTGTGGGAACACTGGGGCAGCGTGCCTCCCCGGACAGTGTAAGTCGTACTGGTGACCGGTGAAGATTCAGAGATGCTTGGAGGGTATTCTGTAGCTCCCTCATCTGGTCTTGAACTTGTGAGACACACCGCTCCATCCTCATCATCCTCTCCATGTCTGGAAACCTCTCAGCTCCAGCTCCTTGTTGTGTTGGAGTCGATGTTCGATCTGGTGTTGAGGTGAGCGTTACACCTCAAAGTACTCATATCTGGATCAGGCTGATGGAAAGGATCGGTGAGAACAAAGTCATCCAGATGTCCTGGGAGTCGATGGAGCCTCCGGGGACGAACAACTTGCTCTCCATCATCTTGCCTTGATGTCTCCATTAGGGAAAACTGCCAACCATCCAGCTCGAAGGACCACTTATTTAGGACATGTGCGTGCTTAAAATACTGGTGGTTGGCAGCTCGTCCTCTCCTCTGTCAGAAGGAATTTTGGAGACTGGTGATGAAGGGAATGTCCAAGCCTTTATGTTTCCGAGTTTATTTCAAACTGAACACTTTATCGTACATGGGTGAGGTGTGTGTGTGTGTGTGTGGTTTTCTGTAAAATACAACAGAACAAAGAATTAGGCTCAGGCATACAGGAAATTCAAACAAGTTACAGGGTGGTCATTATACAGAAGGAACGATATGATCTGGGGATAATAGCGCAACCTGGTGGTCTTAAAAATGTACTGCACGCTTAGAGCTACAAGTCTATAATGGAGGTGATATGAATATTAATGAGTAGGGGCAGGACTATGGCTGTGCCAAACAGCGCTTCTAGCGCACGGCAAGGTAATTGCACTTAGGAACAAAGGGAAAACTTTACTCGACGCTAAACTAGGCAAATGTGCAAAATGAACATTACGATATGCATTTTAAGGCACACAAATAATATGTAACCAATATTTGACACATGTAACACTTTGAAATGTCTTACTAATCTGACCACGTGTCAGTAAGGTGCCTCGTGGCTGAAACTACTGACAGAAATTAACATTTATATGGGCAATACACATATATACAATACCAGGCATGAGAAATATAGCTTCTAACATTCCAATTGCAGTATTACTTACTCGTAATTGACGCACACAAGCACGGCACATGCTCTAAGCAACAACATCGGCAACACTGAACTGAACAAGTTAAGACATGCCCAGGTAGAATGGAATGTCCCATTAGCAGGGGGGCCGTGGAGCAGTCCAAGTGAAACTGACCACAGGGGGTTTTATACAGATGATGTTGTGCACATGATAAACTTTACGTATAAAGTCACAACCCATGCAAGGCGCAAATTTGCGCATATTGCGCCGGGCTGCCTGCCCCAGACCCTCCTGCCGCCACATTCCCTGCCCCCACCTCTAACATTACACCCCGGTCTCCCCCGCACTCCCCCCTCTCCATCACACCGGACCAGGTGAGGAAAAAGCGCAAGCGACTGAAGCAGAGGACATTTTTTGACTTCTCCAGCCCTTTCAACACCATCAGACCGGCACTGCTGCGGGGGACGATGGAGGACGCGGAGTAGACAGTAACCTCACTACATGGACCATGGATTACGTCTCGGACCGACCACAGTACGTGTGGCTGCGAAGCTGTGAGTCTGAGGTGGAAGTCTGCAGCACTGGGGCCCCTCAGGGCACTGTCCTATAACCGTTTCTTTTCATCATCTACACTTCAGACTTCACATACAACACACACAGCTGCCACCTGCAGAAGTTCTCTGACAATTATGCTATAATGCTGTGTGTCTGAGGGGAACGAACTGGAATATCGTTTGGTTATCACAGACTTTGTCGACTGGTGTGAGCGCAACCACTTGTGCTTGAACACCAGTAAGACCAAGGATATGGTAATCGAGTTCAGGAGAAAACCACTTTCCCACACACTGCTGAACATCCAGGGGGAGGACATTGAGCTGGTGGACAGCTTCAAGTACCTGGGTGTTCACATTAACAATAAACTGGACTGGTCCCATAACACCAACGCCCTGTACAAGAAGGGCCAAAGTCGCCTCTTCCTCCTGAGGAGACTGAGGTCCTTCGGAGTGAGCAGGCCTCTGCTCAGGACTTTTTATGACTCTGTGGTAGCCTCTGCCGTATACGCTGCCGTGTGCTGGGCCCCGGGCAGTACAGAGCGGGACAGGAGTAGACTGAACAAGCTGGTCAGGAGGGCCAGCTCCATTCTGGGCTGCCCCCTGGTCTCTTTGGAGGAGGTGAGGGACAGGAGGGTGCTAGTCAAAGTCACTTCCATCATGGACAACACCTCCCACTGCACAGGACTGTAGAGGAGCTGAGGAGCTCTCTCAGGCCCTGTCCACACGTAGCCGGGTATCTGCTAAACCGCAGATATTTTTCTTCATTTGCACTTGTCATCCACATGAAAACGCATCATAAACGAATATATAAAAAAACTCCGGGCAAAGTGGAGATTTTTGAAAACTCAGTTTATGCATTTGCGTGTAGACAGAGATAACCAGAGTTTTGTGTTTTTGCACGTCACAGTATGCCCCCAAAGCAACAACAAACAAAACGTGCAACCTCTGATCACTGAGGAAGCATGGATCTACTGCCTTAAAAACTGGTCGCTGCGGCGATTCACTTTAAGTCACTTGCATTAGGACTGAAAATAGTGTTTCTATCCATGCCAGATGTGACATGTAAATTT